GGGGGGGGGGGGGGGTGAAGAGTTTGGAGAAGGCGGGAGAAGTGAACAATCTAGGACAACATAGCTGAACTAGAAAGTGACCTGAATTGAAGAATGTTTCCAAATCAGCGATGTTGTCCTAGATTGTTCACTTCTCCTGCCTCCTCCAAACTCTTCACCCTTTTGTGAATAACCCTGAAAGTCTGAAAGTGTTCAGAAACATGTTATAATTTCCTATTGGCACACGATCACTACCATAGAGGTGAACGGGATTGCGCCGCATCTGCATGCCAAACGTGGCTTGGGTGTGGTAGTTAAACAAAAACCCACAATGTTCAGTAAGCAGCAGTATCACCTCCTTAATGCTGGGCAGCCACTGCTCTGCCCCCCTATGAAAAGCAATCCACCGCAGATCACTTATCAGAAGGTGATGGAGCCCAGGGTCCTTCCAAACGAGGCCTTACAATGACTGCTTACAAGGGGTTTCTAATGCACTGTACACGTGGCACCCAATAAAAGAAAGTTGTACATGATAAAAATGCAGAGGCCATCATCTCCTTCTAATAATGTACAGTGTACGACGCTGAAACATGCCCCCAATAACGTTCTATGGCCTTGTGTGTGTGTGAGCGAAGAAACTGCCTTGAGGAAGGGACCATGCGCGGCCCCGAAACGTCGGCTTCTCTGATCATTGTGACATCTTTGTCCAATAAAAAAGGACATATTCATTTAAATTATTGAGTGCTGGTAACCTGTTTCTTCGCTCTGTATTTGCATGGCGCCATCCGTGGTTGTTACTACAATCACCATCGTTCTTGTTGGCCGGGACTGCTGTAAAGTGTGCGGAGGGCTCCCTCATCGACTAACACCTGTGTGTGTGTGAGGTTTATAAGTTTTGGGTTAGTGATTACAAAAGTATTGAAGTCTGATAGTCAGCTAGCCAAGCAAGTCAGTATTTTCTGAAGGAGAGGTCATCAGCCCTATATATCCCTGGGGGCCAGAGCATATGGGCCTTCATATGTCCCTGGGGGCCAGTGTATATGGGCCCTCATATGTCCTTGGGGGCCAGTGTATATATGGGCCCCCATATACACCATATACATATTTCCCAGGGGCCAGTCATCTGATTGTCTATGACTGCAGCAGTTTCTCTGTCTTTGACCCAAACAATCATGCGCCAAGTAAAGTACACACAGAAAATGAGCCTATATGGGACTTTTAGGGATCTCGAATATAGAACAGTGATAAGCAACCTCAGCACTCCAGCTGTTGAACTACAAGTCCCATGAAGCATTGCAAGACTCTGGCAGCCACAGACATGACTTCAAGTGGCAGAGGCATGATGGCACTTGTAGTTTTACCACAGCCAGAGTTGTCTACCCCTGATAGAGAACATCAGGGTATATTTTTAGAGGCATACATCTTTTATTATGGTTTTCATTGTATTATGATTATATTTTAATGGATCATAATAACAGTTGTATGCTTATGAAGATACACTATGGGGTTCAATGATAAAATTTCCACCCGCACTGCCCTGGCGGCCCGTGATGGTGCCGATGAGTGTAGGAAATTCCTATGCACGTCAGCGCCATCCAGTGTAAAAGGCAAGGCCGGGCGGAACTTTTATAAATGGCCACTATCTGATGCCGTACGCCTCCGGACACATACTAAGCAGAGTTGCGCCCCAGTACGCATGCGCGGGTTTACCCAAGTAGCAGCATAAACCCACATACAGCCACCTACACCCGTTTACTACTACGGGCAGCTGTACGGTGGAAATACATCCGCCAATTAATGTTCTATGGCCCCCTGTGCCCACGTGAATGAGGCCTAAATGTTTTGGGTCAGCGATTCCATATGTCTCATAGCATGACAGCTCAGGAGATCAGCCCCCTCAATACAAGTTTCGGGTGGACTCACTAAATACGACGCCCAAAAACTAGTTTACATAATAGTGGCTGACAATGGCTGTGCCTGTATGGTATTGTTATTTCTACTTTTCTCATTTGTGTATGATGTGTCCAGGTGGGAAGGTCATTACCATTTCTTTAGCCCTCGGGAGAAAATATGAAAACTGTACACAACACAGCTGGGCCTCCTGTGTCCGCCCAAACCATGCCGAGTGATAGAGCCACCCTGACCCTGCAGGTTCATTGCACTGACTGATATACAGGCGCAGTGCCCCCATGTTGGTCTGGTCCCTCTAAGGGGAGCTATGGGGACCCACATCTTAAAAATTAACTGATGTTTCGGTGTCAGTGTCTGCTAGATGCTGCAGGCTGGTATTATTATCCGTGGAAAACAGCAATGAGCTCATTTGAACTGAGTTGATTTAAAGTACTCTTTTAGCCCTGCAGAACGTAGAGAGCACGGTTGATAAAAGCAAACCTTGGCCATGCAGGGAAACACGACATGTTCTCTTTAATGCTTCCCCTCCCTGGCAGCGCATACATATCTTAGACTCCCCCGTCTCCCCATTCAGCCAGCTGGGAGTGAAGAGGGAAAGACTTGTATAAGCTCAGAGCTTACAGGGGGCAAAGCAGTCCAACACTGGTACATGGTGTGAGTCACATGATCCTCCATACCCGGAAGTACTGAACATTTTTTTCCATTTCTTGCGGCTCAACAGAGTGACATTGGAGGGACAAGAAGATGAGTATATTCTAGGGAGGGGACATAAAAGGGAACCTGTTGCTTTGCTTGGCCTAGGCACAAGTTTGTCTTAAGCTGGCCATACACCTATAGATGATCTGCAGATTTTCTGTGGTCAGATGGAAAAAGTTCAACAGATTCCTCCATCTACGCTAAACTGTGTGGATGGAGGAATCTCCCACTGGGCCAAGCTTCAGCATCTTGCTAGTCAGCCCCGCTGGCTCTCAAAATACCTGAACAATCTGATTGGATGCAGCCATTGTTCGGAGAGCCAGCAGGGCCAAATAAATAGTTTAATGCCCATAGTCTGGACACAGGTGCATTTTAAGGAAGCAGACAGTGGTCACAACCTGATCAGGTGTTGGCCATCTGTAGGAGCTCAGTGCAGTGCAGGCCGGATTAGGCTGGGCACACACCTTACAACCATCGCAAGACTTTTGTCTTGCGATGGTTGTAAGGTACTTAAAAAAACGTACAATCTGCCTATCTTGCATAGGCAGATCGTACTTGCGATGATCGCAAGCCACGCCCCCTGAGGGGCGGGCTTCCGATGACCGCAATGCAGAACACCGGCCCGTCCGGCTGTTATCTTACGAACATGCTATACACCCGCCGAACATCGTACGATGCTCAGCGGGTTTTCAAACATGTTCGTAAGTTTAAAGTCGTGCGACCTTACAGTAGAGCGTAGAGCGCCCCCTGCTTGAGGGATCCTTGTCAGTTGTGCTATTTATTCCTGTACTGAGCAGAGCGTGCCCCTGCTGGAGACATCAGCTATGCAATCAACAGTCACAGGAATAAGTGCACCTTCGTGTATTTGCACAGTTGATGAAGAAAGACTAGTGCATCTTGGTGTCATGTGCACAGTTGGTAGTGATAGGTTAGTGCACCTTTGTGTCTGTGGCACAGCTGTCAATCACACCAGCCAGCACTGTTGGTGATGCCTCCAGCAGGGGGCGCTGTGATCAGCACACAGTACAGGCTGGTTGAATAGCACATCTGATGGTTGGTGGTGCCTCCAGCAGGGGGCGCTGTGCTCAGCACACAGTAGTACAGGCTGGCCTATTCCCGGGCGCGCGAGGCATGAAACGCATCCGTCTTCCCTGTGACGTCACCCGCAGGAA